TACTCTAGTTTTGCAAATTTTTTAGCCAACTTTTGCTTAAAAACGTATTTCTTTGTTACTCTGAGGCCCACGACGAAGCCCTTGCTGACTCTCTCCTTCGAAATCAGATGGTCCTTACTAGTGATTTCACCCCATAGATATCATTGGCAGCGAAGGAATTGGCAACAAAAACACCCACCAAGAGCGCGAATACGAAAAGGTACTTCATTCTTTAACGGTACTCGTAATAGCACCTAAGGAATCCGACCAAACTGGTAGCGTGTAAAATATGAACTGATTTGTTATTTTGACCGATATCATTCGAATATATTCATTACAAAATATACACGTTTTTATCAGCTAAATATAATATACATATTAATACATACAAAATTACATAAGACATTGCTTAAGGGCTTTAAGTTAAAGCCATAGCTTAGATAGCTCAACATGGGTTCTGATCGCATTTGTCTTATCAACTAGCAAACTATTTTTAAGCCTATTAAATGTATTTTATCTAGGATATACCACTATACATATTAACTTACATACTTCACCTTGCGCATTATATATTCTCAGTTATTTTATTTTTGTATGCACAAATTGTAGCGGCATCATATTAGTTGTTATGTCAATAATGCAGTTGTCTACTTTAAAAGTTAAATATGTTTGTACAGTATGTACGAGTATGTATTTAGGATGCCACTTACCACTTGTATATCTGTAAAAGATCTCTGACCGCAAAGAAATTGGATTTCGGGCTGGCGATGTTTAGTTTTCTTATCAACATAGCGAGCCACTAGACAAAAAAGACTGACTAGCTGACTAGCTTATAACAAAGCGAGTTTATAAATTTATAAGAATAAGTTTCAATAATATGTCATATTTATCCGAATTAATGCCATAATTTTGTCTAATTTTTGCAGAATTATAAAATGTAGCGAAGATGTCACTATTTTGTACATGGCGCAAAATTAAGACATGCCCCATATAGAATTTAGTAAAAGTTCTCACAGACGGACGCTGTATAAGAGCGTCTCATAAGCGAACACATTCTTTGAAACAATTTTTGGTTTTTTTTCCACACAAAATCTCTCCCATACACGGACTTTCCGATATTTTTAATTCAATCTGTTTTTGTCTATTGAATAATAAAACTTTTTTAATCTAGAAACCGGCAATTTCAATTTTTAAATGTGAATTCTAACAACCGTGACTGATCGACACTACAAGTAATGGTGTTTCAGGTCGATGTGTCTAAAAGCATAAAATATTTGCATGCTCAAATTCGAAGTTGGTCTACGTAGGCTCAGTTGCCTAAAAGTTTTTACTTGACTAGTTCATTTGAGAACAGCGCATGAAGAGCGTGCTCGTGATAGACCCTTTAGGAACGATGTTTTTTTGTTATACCATATGGTACCGAGCCAAGATTTGAGTAGCCCAGTCCCAGTATTGAGGAATGAAGCCAACACAATTGGTTAATTCAATAAATATTTTATCGCAGACACTGTCTAAGCCCTATTGAGGCCACCTTAGTGGAGAAAACTTATTCAGCAACTGAATAGACTTTCTTGCATTAGCTTTTCCATGCCATCAACTTTCTTGTTTCTATGAAAAAATCCCAACTCAAACAAATTTTTTTAATACAATGCGGAAATTTTGCAACTGTCTGCCAACCGGTGATCGCTATTAAAAACAAAACTTAGATAAAATGTTATATGGGACCTTATGAACAGTGTGACCAGATGATTACACCAAATGAAGCTAAGTTGACTTGAATAAAAGGTTAGAAAAAGTTAAAGGGAATGAAACAATTTTCTAAGTCTTAGAATTATAAGTCTAAATAGAGTTTTCTTTTTCATAAATATAACACTGAGACCAGTTAACCAGATTGACTCATTTCGGACTCCTTTGGTGTCATACATTCTGAGTTCAAAAAAAGTAAGAAAGTTCACGTAGAAATATAAAGACTCATAGCATGCCATTTCAGGCTCTAATATGACTCCTAACTTGGACTCGTATTGGCGTACACTTCTAAGAAGGGAAATATGCTTTTTTCTTACACTTTCTTGAGCTCATAAAGAGGGTTACAAGTCAGAATTCTAAGACTTTTCTGACTCCAAATGTTCCAAATATTTACAGGGATAAGCCAAAAAAGGCAGCACTTTTATGCCGAAAAATTTAATATTTAGCATCTTTACAAATTCAAACGAATTGTATATAAATTGTTGCTCAAAACTTTGCAGCCGAACTTAGGGCCTTTTTCTGATGTCTTAAAGCGATAGCACTTCGGATCGTTATCTTTGCTCCATAGACACACGACACATGCACCAATTCTTGCTCTATTTGAAATCTGTTTCATTAAAAACCAACCATCTTGTTTTCACAATTTACTTGAAACTCAAACGAACATCAGATTTGGGGCGAAATAAATGTCGGTAGGTGGGTCTTGTTAAAAGCAAACACCACTTCTTTGTGTGCCGGTGTTTTTAAGCTATCACTGCGAAAATGTATAAAAACCTGGTTGTGAATAAATTATTTCATCCGGTCTAATATAGTGCGTGCTTTTATTGTCCATAAATATCAATAGTAAAATGATAACCATGACCACGTTGACTCTTCAAATGTATAACAGCAAAATCCATTCCTGGGCCACCGCTCTTTAGTGTTGCATAGCCACCATCGCCATCGGTATATTGATCAGTAACGACTATCTGGGTAATAGTGCGTGGATAAGGATTACGATCGGACTAAAAAGAGATCGTAAAAGAACAAAAATAGAATATAGATGCTTGAGGGAATAAAATTTGACAGCAAATATTTTAAGCAAATACAGCAAATCCAGATTTTCATATTTAGTTGCATACATAGTTAGATATTTTCACTTTACAAACCTTCTGCTTGAATTCATAATCACTCGAGACAATACGCAATGGCTTGAATGTTTCTTTAACTATCTCACGCTTGATGAGTACGTCACGTGAGCTGGCGCACCCCAAATCACATTATGACTCTCCGGTACTGTACGGCCGACTCGACCAAAACTGTGTCACTTATCCCAATCGACACGCAAACTAGTAATAAAAACTTTTGCATATTTACTCTATTTTGTAATTTTATACCCAGAGAAATAAAAAAAAGAAACATAAGCACCTTTAGCTGCATCGACGAGGCTTCAAGCGGCACTAAATCGAGCGTGATTCGCAGCGCTAGCTTAGAGTTGCTTAAATTGTGGCTTGACATTGCTTATCTAAATAAAGCAAAAATAAAAATATATAATAATAATAATATGAAATTGGCTATTGTATAAAAATTTCGTACGTTGAAGTCTACTAAAGGAGAGCGCATTTTATGAGAATTTATTTCTTATTTAGCTTTGCAGTAAATTGATAAGTGATTAAAAAAAAATCACACACATACTTACATACGTCTGTTTAGTTTGTATTCAAAGCGAAACCCATGCACATTCCAATCGGACGCCCACAAATACAAAGCTTATATGAACATCAAGTATACCTTTCGTCTGCAACATCGGCATAACCCAAAATTTCATGTTTCTGAGTTCAACCATTAGGTTTATAAATACCCAAATTTACACAAAACTTAAAAACTGTCGATAGTTTAGTGATGCTCTTATGGGGAAAAACGACATTTTTTGTTTTAAGTCGTTTTTCAGTAATACCAGGGGAGTTATTTTCGTTTAACTACTTTGGAGTTGTTACTTATTTCGATTGTTTTAAGTCCAACCCTTACTAAATCTTTAGAAAAAAAAGAAGATAATTTGAAAGCTTAAAACTGGAAATAGTCCGGAATAATTACGTTCCCAGACATATTATTGCTAAATTACGAAACACAAACGCTTTAATTGTCTCTACTGAAAAAATATGAAACTTTGAGTTGTGTCGTTATTACAGAGGACCATCGTTATGTACATACATATAACAACTTTCTTGGGTTTTCCGCTTGGTTAAGTTGTCAAATACTAACATATGAAGATATTTAGGTACATTAGGGTGGTCCTTAATGTATGAAGCAAATTTTTACATCAGATTTACTAAGCCTCAACCCTTACGTTGATGCTACTATAGTCGAAAATATCACATACAAATTTTGGCCCCGATTGGAGTCCGTCAAGGCGTGGCGAACAGGGGTCAAAATTCAGATTAATCTATGAAGACGTCTCAACCGACTCCGATCGGGACTAAAATTTGTATGTGATATCTTCGACGTTAGTAGTATCGATTTGGGTATTAGTGAAAAAAAAAATATTTTTCATTTTTTGAGTCTCCATAGAGGTATCTGGCTTTTGACCCCTTTGCGACACGCCTTAATCGACTTCAAAAGGGATACAAATTTATATGTGATATCTTGGAGGATGTTGGTGGTATCGATTTTGGGCACCAGATAAAAACAAAATTAACTTTAACGCCTTACCCGTCTCCAATCGGTACCAAAATTTGTATTATTATTATTGGTATTACCGATTGAGGGGGCGAGACTGACAAAAATCCTTTGTCCTTATTTTTTTAAGGACCACCCTAATATGTATATCTATGTATGTTTACGCACACTTACATGCATGCATATGTACCCACATTTTTACTTTTGTACTCTTTTTTTACTCTGTAACCAGTAGGTATGTAGCTCTTTTGTTCTCTTGATTCGATTTTTAATATTTCGAGGCGATTAGTTTCACTTGTCATTTCTAAATTGACGTTTACACATTCGAAAACATTTGTCTACATGAGTTTGACATGAGCCTTGTTGTGTTTTTGGTCCGTCTGCCATTTGGTCTGTAAAAAATTTTCTGGTTGTCTGCTTACGCCAATTGATTGCGCCGTTCATAATGAATCTATGTACATACATATCGCTCGTTTGCTGTAGGAACGTCATAATACATTTGTAGTATGCAGAAATGGTCGGTAGCCTTTATGTTATGTTCGGTAAAAAATTATTTTATGCATTCTCACAATTGTGTCTCATTAGAAATACATTTTTCTTTCTTGCGATTTTACTCTTACTAGTTTTGCTCAGCGACTAGTATAACTACAAAGCAATCGACTCTTCGACCAAATTAACGAATCAATGATTACGATAATATTTATTTCGTTTGTATCTATTACTTAAGCTGCCTTTACACCGGTCGCTTTCTGTCGACTGGAAAATCGACTGAGAAGTCGGCCCGCCAAAGCACTTACATTTTACAGTTAAACTGAATGATAAAGATCTACTAGAAAAATCGACCTGTGTAAAGGCAGCTTTAGTTTTGTGCAATCGGGGAACCGAACTATGAACATCAACGCTTTTTAGTCGCATTTTTGAGATACAACGTTCTTCTTCGAGCAAACCAGCGATATTTTAATGTAGATGGGGAATTCATATCAATTCGTGTATTGTCTGTTGCTCATTTATTTACTTATCGACCCTGTCGGTACATTTGAGTTGTAAATTTTTCAATAGAGTTTGTGCGGAAAACCATAGAATTAGCAGTATTGAATTGTTTATCCGATATTTCAGCATTGGTGACTTAGGACCGGTTGTTCAATGTCTGGCTATCACTACCGTTGTCTTTAACCAGTGATTCTACCTCCGCTTTGCGTTAACCGGACATTGAACAACCGGCCCTTAACCATTCATAATAATATTGTCGCGGGCCCTCGAAGCCACGTGGTAAGAGATGCGAAGTCTCATTCGGTAGGACCAAAGTTCGATCAGAAATGTAGGCTACATACATACATCGAAGAAGCACTCAGTCAAGCCTTTCGCCAAATATGCTAGCGCCATAACATATTTCTTTCAACTTTTGTGCTTACAAACTCCATTCGCGGGAAGCATTGGTATTTTGGTTCCGTCTGCAGAGAAATGCAGCTGAAAGTCATCGGCTTGCTGTGTGAGGCTGGTTCCGATGTTTCAACAATGGTTATTTTCACACAACCGAGAAAGACAACACCAAAGCGAAATATCCATGGCAGCAAGTTCTTCTCTTCATTTGGTGGGACCGGAATCAGAAGGATGCCCTTTGTTTAGAGCTTCTGAAAAGTGGTCACACCATCGACAGGCTCTCTACAGACCACAACTGATGCGACTGCAGTGCGCGATAGCGAAGATGTACCGCGTGGAAAGTCCTAACCCACCCGATTTGTAGCGAAGTATCGCTTCCAGCAAACACTCTGCTGTCAATCTTAGGGTCAGCAGCCTGCGGTTTGAAGATTCATTTCATTTCCCCTACGGTCGTACGCCGTTGAATTAGAAATATTTCTATCGAGACCCATTTAGCTTTTACTATTTTGATACTAAGTATGTTCTGACATTTTAAGTGTCATTTTACAACTCATACCTACATAAGTATATAAAACTACATAAAATATTTTTATCGCGAGTCATCGTTATTTCCATATGACTAATTTAACATAATTCTCTTTGCATCTACTTACAGCTGCCTCGGCATCAAGTCGCCTTTCATCGAATTCAGCAACAATATAGAAGTGCTGGCCAACAACAGTGTGCCCCTCAACATAACCAAAGATGAGCAGGCGCTCATGCATCAGGAAGGCCTACGCAAGTTGGGCTCTTTCATAAAACCCGTTGACTTGCGCGATTCGACGACGGGTTTTGTGAAAGCCGATTTAACTAAGAAAATACCAAGCGCTGCTGCCAGCACAAGCAGTAATATGCACTATGGCGCTGGTGGTGGTCATGGTGGGGGTGGTGGAGGTCCCGGCGGTGGTATAATAATGGCACAACGACGTCGTCATCCAATACAAGAAGAAATGGATCAAAAACAAATTATATTGCTTGATGAAGACACAGATGAAAATGGTTTGCCCACAAGTCTGACGGATGAAGATCGAAAATTTATCGTACCCATGGCGCTTAAGAATGCCTCACCGGACCCACACGCGCTAATGGCTACGCAGCGTCTAGTAGGCATGTCGACGCGGCGCACCACAACGACGACGACGACGACCACAACAAAGCGTCCCACTACACCTGTCACACCAGAGTTTGCATCGAATATCGACGATCTCAAAAAGCATATATTATTTTTGCAAAATCTCACTAAGCACGATAGCAATTTTCAGTCGAAATTTGTTGTATTCCCAAGTCTACAAAAAGATCGGAAAAATCCAGGGCCAACAGTTGTAATAACAACAACCACTGCGCGCCCTTTTCGCTCAATCTTTCAATACTCTGCGCCCGCTACACCACCTACGCGCAAATCCGCTTTTCCGAGTGGCGCAAAACTGCCAGGGGGTCAACCCTTCGGCGGCTACTATCACAATGACGATGTAGATGATGGCGGCATGTCGGTGTTTCTTTCGAAAGCCGGTATGAATGCGCGCGAAAAGATCACAATTGTGCCACAAGTGTTGCTGCTAAATGATCAAACGAGTAAAAACGAAACTGCTGGTGTCGATGTGAGACAACGCAATTTCGATAACTCACCCGCTGGTATGCCGCAAACTATTGCCGCCACCACAACAACTACGCCAGAGACTACCACACCCATGACGAGTACGACGCCTAAGCGTCCAACCAAGAGACCCTTGTGTATACGCAATCCTGACTCGCCGAAATGCATACGGCAGCGTAAGCGCGAGGAGCAACAGCGTCAGCGCCATCGTGAGCAATTGTTGCGCGAGCAACGTGAATATCTACGGCCGCACTACGAACCCTACATCCAGACGCTAAACAACACAAAACGCTTTGCGGTGTCCATCGAAATACCTGACTCCTTCAAGATACCGTACAATGAGAGCAGGGAAACAACTCCGACGCCCTCAATACGTGCCGATGAAGGCGAATTACAATTGCTTTCACGTTCCATACGTTCGCATCATAAACGACGCAATATTGGTGCCGGTATACAAGGACGTCGCGCTAGCAATAATGATAAGTTTGCCGCCAAATATGGACCGAGCTATTTGGAGCGTGATGCGGTCATAACGGGTAATCGGGATTTCGTCGTTTCGAGTGGAGATCGAAGTGTCACATCTTCGACAAATAACAGCAGTACGCCAAGTCCGACGGTGCCGGCGTATTCGGAGCCAANTTCACCGGACCCACACGCGCTAATGGCTACGCAGCGTCTAGTAGGCATGTCGACGCGGCGCACCACAACAACGACGACGACGACCACAACAAAGCGTCCCACTACACCTGTCACACCAGAGTTTGCATCGAATATCGACGATCTCAAAAAGCATATATTATTTTTGCAAAATCTCACTAAGCACGATAGCAATTTTCAGTCGAAATTTGTTGTATTCCCAAGTCTACAAAAAGATCGGAAAAATCCAGGGCCAACAGTTGTAATAACAACAACCACTGCGCGCCCTTTTCGCTCAATCTTTCAATACTCTGCGCCCGCTACACCACCTACGCGCAAATCCGCTTTTCCGAGTGGCGCAAAACTGCCAGGGGGTCAACCTTTCGGCGGCTACTATCACAATGACGATGTAGATGATGGCGGCATGTCGGTGTTTCTTTCGAAAGCCGGTATGAATGCGCGCGAAAAGATCACAATTGTGCCACAAGTGTTGCTGCTAAATGATCAAACGAGTAAAAACGAAACTGCTGGTGTCGATGTGAGACAACGCAATTTCGATAACTCACCCGCTGGTATGCCGCAAACTATTGCCGCCACCACAACAACTACGCCAGAGACTACCACACCCATGACGAGTACGACGCCTAAGCGTCCAACCAAGAGACCCTTGTGTATACGCAATCCTGACTCGCCGAAATGCATACGGCAGCGTAAGCGCGAGGAGCAACAGCGTCAGCGCCATCGTGAGCAATTGTTGCGCGAGCAACGTGAATATCTACGGCCGCACTACGAACCCTACATCCAGACGCTAAACAACACAAAACGCTTTGCGGTGTCCATCGAAATACCTGACTCCTTCAAGATACCGTACAATGAGAGCAGGGAAACAACTCCGACGCCTTCAATACGTGCCGATGAAGGCGAATTACAATTGCTTTCACGTTCCATACGTTCGCATCATAAACGACGCAATATTGGTGCCGGTATACAAGGACGTCGCGCTAGCAATAATGATAAGTTTGCCGCCAAATATGGACCGAGCTATTTGGAGCGTGATGCGGTCATAACGGGTAATCGGGATTTCGTCGTTTCGAGTGGAGATCGAAGTGTCACATCTTCGACAAATAACAGCAGTACGCCAAGTCCGACGGTGCCGGCGTATTCGGAGCCAATAGATTTGAATCCCGACAATTGCTATCTAGTCGACGGCATGACATATGGGCAAAAGAAACAATGCGTTTTGCATACGAGCGTTATGCCAGCGATAAGTCGTGGAGCGAGAGCGGCCATACAGGTGAGTGGACTTGATTATCTATTTGATATT